ACGTCCTCGAAAAACATTACGGCTATAAACTCTTCATCCCAGATCGGGACCTCATTCCAACAGGAAGTAAGAACTGCGACTGTCTGTATCCCTGTATCATTTGGTATTTAGTGTTGCTCATGTACTGTAGTTGCCGCATCGTTTGGTCCCATTCGTTCCACGTTGTCGTTCTCATGCAAGGACCACGCCACAACAATGAGGGTTTGAAGATTTAGAATAAAAACGAGGAAAATTAACAACCGAGGACGTATTGATTACATAAGCTGAAATAGGTTGTACTACTATGTCTGATTCTGTGACAAAAGAACCACGATGACAGACATACTTTAATGGCTCCAGAGAATATAAGCTGTGCCAAATTGTCTTTTGGGGCCAAGTGGAAGCCAACAACCTCCTTCCATAGTATTAGCCAATGGCGTCCTGATGGAGCTGCTTTAGTGTTGAGTTGGACTTCTTTGGATTGATTTAAGTTATCGTTGTAGAAGAAGGAAAGCGTTTCCAAAATGGAACAGGAACTATTGCCAAAGATACATTTCCAAGAACACCTCAGCCAGTCCAGTCTTTGCCATTTACCTATATGGCTAATGCAACAGTATTGGAATAGGAGGATATCTTCCAACGTTAACCCTTTTAGCCAGTAGATTGTTGACAGTGCAGGTTTAGTGGCGGCTGATAGAACCTTACAGTAGATGTGTAAAGCATCAGGCATTATGAATTATGCCTGGATAAAAAGTACATGGTTTTGTTGAGCAGTGTCTTGGACATTTATCTTTGTAAATGTGCCGCATTATTTGTTGGTCAGTGTGCAGGAGTGGTTGGGCTTTCCACGAGTATCAAGGCTTGAAGGGGAATCACTTTCTTACCCATCATGAATCCAGTAGATTGACCTGCTGTTCAGGGATCCATTGTGATGTGATTCTTTGGTGTTAATCCAAGGTCAATTCAATCAATCAATCAATTTTTATTTGTATAGCGTCAACTCATAACAAGTGTTATCTCGAGACACTTTACAAAAAGCAGGTAAAAGACCTTACTCTTTGTCTTTTAACATTACAAAAGACCTTACTTATTACTATATTACAAAGACCCGGCCTATCCATCACAAGCACTTTAGCAAAGCAGCAAAAGTTACAGCGGTAAGAAAAAACGGACTTATTATTAGGTCGGGTTAGTCAAACTTTTTTAGATAGGAGCAATCAAGCGTGACACATGGGTTTGTCATCAAGAAAACTGAGGCTAACTAGGATGGGATAACCAGCTAAATGTAGGCCTGACAGGTGATTGGAGTTGTAGTTGTGGCGTGGTCCTGCTCCCAAAATGAAGATGGCCAATTGACTTCATTGGTTTTAAGTGTTTTGTTGTGTTCACTGTCAATGTCTTGTGTTTCAATGTTTTGTGCTGTTTTGGGCAATCAGAGTACATTCACACTTACAATGAGAGGAGGATTGTTTCAGATTTCCAAATAAGAGAAGACCGAGGCAAAACTCATTCCTTTCCCTACCGACAAGAAACTTTTTATGCATCGTAACAAATCTCCTGGTAAAAGCAAAGGATCATAGTATTTCACACTTGTTTGTACTATCTACAACAAATATTGGAATAAAGTATACAGTGTGCACCAGGAGCTGATATATTGAACAAATGTATCATCCCCGCCTGGTTTTTCATCCATGCATTATTGAATCCATGAAAATTCTGTCTGAACATATTCTCATGCGTGCTAACTCACTGCTTAGTAGTCCGTCTGTGCCAGCGGTACACAGTGTGCTCTAGTTAGCAGCGATGCTGTGTGTTTGTACTGTAGGCTTGATGTGGAACAGATAAAACGCAAACACATCCTAGCTGGTCCAGTCAGAATTAAACATCAGTGGAAATATATGCGAAGGCTCTGAGCCCTGCTGACGGAGCTGACTCTTTCCTTTAATCAAAAGAAAATTGCCACCAGCGTCCATGCCAAGAAAAATCATTGTAGATGAATGTCCAATCAGGGAACGTGATTAATCATATGTGAAATAAAAAAAAGTCCAATGAGGGAAGATGAGGCCACTGTAACCACTGTTGTTGAGCATGTTTCTGTCTGTACTGTGTTCTGCCTGTGACCTGAATGTTAAAATGTTTATGTTTAGGTCTCACCAATGAGCATTACCAGGATGACACACGACTCTTTGGAGGTACTCGCCCATCAGTCTTTTTCCTCTTGTATCAGCTGCTGTCATTTCCGTGCTCCTATAGGAAGTTTCAAAGAGACACTTAGAGAGGCGTTTAGCTGTGTGAGGGTGAAACATCATGTTCTGTACAACAGACAGCGTCTCCCGCTTAATCCCACAGATTGTGCAGCTTTATCAATCATTTCGTGCCATCCAGAGTAATTTAGAGCAGCGCTCAGCTTTGTCTGCAGGTCCGCCCTCTCCAGAGCATTGATTTCAACATTGGGAAGAGACAGCATGGAGAGACACAGAAAAGCATTTGAACCCCCACACATTACATATTTAAATTAATATTTTATCTCTATGATGCTACCCTATTATAAAGATGTTGTGGCAAAGTGAATGCACATTTTTTTTAAACAGTAATTTTGATCAAACTTGAAAACAACTTAATAGTTAATAGATTGTTTGGCCATGGTTCCAAATATAAGTACACTTTAAAGTCTTTATATGTGATTTTTCACACTTAAATGTAGAAATCAAGTATATCCTCTGAAAATAACTCTGTGAGTCATGACTATCTACAATGGGTGTAACACCCGAGTCCCACTGTCTGTGATGTTTTCAGAGTTTTCAGAGTCCTATCTTCACTTTGTTTACATCGCCGGGACGGCCGGCTGACTCCTCCCCTCGTGTATAAAAGTTGTTTAATTGAGGGACTAGAGAAAAGAAGAATAACATACTGTACTCACTGCTTAACTGTGTTTCTAGCATACACAATGAATGTATTTTTGATATATACACACACATACACTATATAAATGTATTTCTTCATACACTGTAAACAACCGACTGATATGAATGTTTGGGTTCACATACTGGAGGTGGACAACAAAAAGCAGCTTGTCATTGTCTTGTGTTTTGTGTCTGTTGCTGTATGTTTATCCATCCTTGTTAAGTGTTTTATTGGTGTCATATTAGACTTACAACAAACTGATTCTATGTCACTATGCCACTCCTACAAATATATTCTATGTTTCTCAACTATTATGCCACTCCTATGTCTTCTGCTTTTTAACTTTTGATCTCTTCCTCCCTGCAGCCTACATAGAGGACGTGGCCCGCTGTGTGGACCAGAGCAAACGCCTCATTATAGTCATGACGCCCAACTACGTGGTGCGGCGAGGCTGGAGCATCTTCGAGCTGGAGACCCGGCTGCGCAACATGCTGGTGACCGGCGAGATCAAGGTCATCCTGATCGAGTGTGCCGAGCTGCGCGGCATCATGAACTACCAGGAGGTGGAGGCCCTCAAGCACACCATTAAAACACTCACCGTCATCAAGTGGCGCGGCCCCAAGAGCAACAAGCTCAGCTCCAAGTTCTGGAAGCAGCTGCAGTACGAGATGCCGTTCAGGCGCACAGAGCCCATGCTCACCCACGAGCCGGCGCTGGACGTCAGCGAGCAGGGCCCCTTCGGAGAGCTGCAGACCGTCTCCGCGATTTCCATGGCGGCGGCCACCTCCACCGCCATGGCCACCGCCCACCCCGAACTGCGCTCCACCTTCCACAACACCTACCACACCACCATGAGGCAGAAACACTACTACCGCAGCTACGAGTATGACTTACCCCCCGGAGGGACCCTGCCACCTCTGTCCTCTCTGGGTAACCAGCACACCTACTGCAACATCCCGCTCACGCTGCTGAACGGCCAGAGGCCACCGGGGAAGACAAGAGAGCACAGCCTGGAGGAGGCGCACGCCAACAATGCCATGCTCCCTCTGCTGCCCAGAGAAACCAGCATCTCCAGCGTCATCTGGTAGTGATGGACCAAGTTTGTGGTCGGAGATTACGGAGAAAAGCGTTCCCGGATCAGCTTGGTTCCAACCGTCGTAAAAGTGGCAGCAAGTGCAGAAGGTTCAGCAGGTTTTTCCGAACAAGGCTCCCCCCCTTGTTCTTTTCAAGTGGACACAATCTTGTTACTGTGGATGTTTTTTTTTTACGGAACTACAGGAGATAAGTGTAAACACTGTTTCATCGACTAGCGAGAGACGGACTCGCAAAGAAACTCCTACCATACACTATGGCAATTGTGCACACACCTGCATACACACACAAATGTGCATACATAGAAACAAAAGGAAAACAGGGTCTTGTACATATATTTCAATTTATTTGTAGCATCAGTGTTTTCCTGTTTTTGTTCTTTTTTTTTTTTAATTCAATCATGTTCGTTGCCTTCACTTCTGTAGGATTTTTGCTTTATCTTGTTATGAAGAGTTGTATATTTTTTATTGTTTTTTTCTCATTTTAGTTTTTTTTTAATTCCTATTTCGATGAGCTTGTTTGGGAAGCCAGTATGTCACGTACCTGCGCTGTTGATGTATTTTTTTTTTCTTTGTTTCTTTGTTTGTTTTTAATCTTCGTGTAGTTTAAGAGAACATTTTTTTTTTTAACACTTTTTGGAACCGCCTGGACATTTCAGGAGCTTCAAGGAGCTGAAACTTCTTTTTTGTTTTACCTGTAAAAGGTGTATCTAGTTTAAAAGGAAACTCTCTTTTAAAAAATCATCGAATATGCAAAAAGAAGGAGGAGCTGGCAAAAAAAAAAAAAACGACTTGTGGGACCGAGAAGGAGGAGCGGTTGGGGGGCCATGCTAGTCCTCTCCAATCAGATAGACCGATAGACTGGCAGATCTCTCTCTAAAGCTTCATATTTTCTATTGAAACAAACAGCCTTGCTGTTTTAGAGTGATAGTGAAATGCCTCACCTTAAAAAGAAATCTGTAGATTATTTTAAAAAGAATTCTATTTTTATAACAGAAAAGAGTTTGCTTGAGAAGTCATACTTATTTGCATTTCATCCACCATGGAACGGGGATTTGTGTATAAGTGTTATGCTGGTTTTGTACACTTGAAAAATGTGGCTCCTGGTTTGTTAAGAGATTAAGGTGGCTTTTGAATCCCACATGGAAAAAGATGTCCTCTACCGTTCAAGACTCAAAAGTAAAGCATTTTCAATGTTTTGGTTTTTTAAAACATAATATTATTCCCCATCCTTCGGTTCATATGGATAGTTCATGTTTAAGGAAAGAAAAAGAAAACATTTGTGTTTTGAAAGACTTTTTAAATATATTTGAAGGTGTGATTTTTGAGTATGCATAGCAAATAGATATGTATTCTATATATAATATAGATATTTATATAAATATATAAACACAATTTTCACTTGGAAAGAAATGTCTATCTTTATAGAAACACAATCATTATCAGTTGCCCTTACTTTCTCACTGCACATTAAAAACATGGATTTCCTTTTTTGATGTTTTTATTTCTTTTTGTATCCGTTGTGTGTTTGTCTGTGGAACACCTGCATCATGTACTGATCACACTCATATAAAACCCACATTAATATTTACATTAACAGGAAACACTCATTCGATGATTAGAAGTGTTGAATCAATGACGATCTTAAAGACGTAGATATCACCATATACAGTTGAAATACCTCTTAACACTACAGACATTGTGCCTTGCTCTGACGAATCTTGAACTGCACACAAGAAAAATGCAGAGTCAACAGACAGCTTGTGTGTGCTGTCTTGTTTTCTTCCTCTGGTCTTTATGTATCCAGTATACCAGATGAATCTGCTCATGTTTTGAGTGAATCCGACCCCCCTTCTGTTCGAACAGATATCCATCCCACCTGATTCAGGACAGGTCAATCAAGGCTGTTGATCTAAATCTGGGGTGTTTATGAAATTAATATAGTTTCATAAACAACCGAGATGGCTGCAAGTTTTACACAAAGTGGACAGCAGGTCACACAAGTGGTAAGTGTTGGCTACGACATCATGTACTATAGCCTATTAAACGTCTGTTAAAAGTCGAAACTTAGACTCTAAGAAGAATGGACAGGGTGAAAGCTCTCAGCAGTGAAGCGAAAAGATTTAGAGCTCCCCCTGCTGACTGGCTGCAGTATAGGTTATAAACCCCGCCTCCTCAATGATAAAAGCTGGTACATGGGGCAAACTTTAAAATGAAAATGAATGGAAATTTTAAAAAAAAGTCTCAAACCTGGTTTCTATCATCATAGATAGTTCTTATCATGTCTTCACTTCTCTGACAAGTTTTAAAAAGTTCATAATTTCAGGAACAGCAGATTTAAGATCATGATTGATAGCTCTGTTGAGAAAGGCAGGACCTGCAGCGTTCTTTACAGGATTAGCAGAGTGGACGAGGAACAGCAAGAGTCCCTGAGCCCTCCTTAACTTTGAGTGTCTGTCTACAGTATAATGCACACAAGAATCTGATCTTCTGTAAACTGTGACAACCTGAAGAAAACATGCCAATTTATCAAGCAGTTAAAATAACAGAAAGAGTGGGGCGTCATTTCAGCAGTCGTACAGTCCAGATCCATTCTGTGCATGTCTTGGCTCCAAACGACATCATCAGCTCAAAATAATAAAGCCTGTCGCTTGATTATTTTTGCATCAATTGTGTACAGCTGATGGAGATGGAGAGACACTGTCCATGTAGTTTATATGTTGAACTCGAAACCAACGGGTACTTGATGTTGAAACTTGCAGCCTTCCCTAGCATCCTAATGCTGCATTACACTTTTTGTGTCTCTGTAGCATCCACAGACACTTTAGTCTGCGCCAACTGAAAAATACAAATGGAACTGACAGGCTCCAGTTTAACTCACAACTCCAAATTGGTTTGGCAATACAGTGCTGCTCCATATGAATATTTACTGCAGATTACAAAAACATAAGCTGTTTTTTTTTCTTCTTTTTCAAATATTGAAACAGTTTTGGCTAACCCACTTTACACAGGCTGTGAAGAGATCCTTTCTTGATATGTTTTCTACTCGCAGAGATGAAGACAAACTCATCAATGCTCACGCAATGAATAAAACTAAAGCTGATCCAGCTAGTTTATTTATCTAAAGTTTAGCTGAGGCCAGGATGCTTCAACAGTCTTGAGTTATTCACATAAAATGGATAACTTCCAAAGCTAAAGTCATCTAACTACAAAATTCCCTTTATGTGTTTCCCCCCAGATGGATTCTGAGTTGCCGGGGAAGGACATTTTTTTGTGTGGGTACTCGCTTGATTTGACTAAGTCGGACCACTAATGCATCAAATTAGCTCTGGTAAAACACTTTTTTGCAGAACGTGTACTTTGGATTTGTCCCTCGTGACCTATATCAGGGAGTAGCCTACATCTGGCTCTTTTAGAGACTATATGATCAAGAGGAATGATTACAGCAAGCAAACTTTCACATGAGCATGCTAACTAATGTTTCATGACAGACATGAATAATTGTAAAACTTGTCCTTTAAGTTCAGTTCAGGAACCCATAAAAAAAATAACTCTGAGGGGAGATTATGGTGAATGCTTTGAACGCTTGAGAAATATTCTACATGGTTCCAAAATGAAGAGTAAAGCCCCATTTACACATGCACACCTGAAAAATTCACAATATTTTGTGACTGACTGCAAGTTTGAACACAAATGGTTGTTTTTTTCCAGCATTATGTTATCCAGACTTTTTCCCGCCAGCCTCCTTATAAAAAAGTCCACAAGAATTCAGGCCAATGTTTGAATGCAGCAGGTAACATTCAGGCAAGTTCTCATCCTGGCATTTATATCATGCGACCATGCAGAGAGAAATCTGTTTCAGTCTTGTTGCACGGAACAAGACTGCTTTGTGCTCTTTTCCAGCTAATGTCCAGATGTATGTTTACAATATTTCCGCTCGTTAGATGCAATGATTCTTTGGCTTTTAAGTAAGAAGCACATTAAACAATTCGACACTGACAAAAGGTACTTAGCGCAGAAGGTCGATGTAGTGTGCAAAGAAGAAAGGTCAACAGCTAGACAGCATGTAATGATTTAGGTCGCATTGGGAGTTTGAGAGTTTAAAATGGCTGATATGGAGATTTCTGAGGCCTTTTAGTCTAAAACACTTCCAATATATTCACCAGTCCCTGGTTGGATGCTGGCTGGGGACTTGTGCAGCATGCTATCTCCCCTGCTCCCTTACCGTCTATCTCTGCTGTCAGATAGGGGCAGAAATGCCAAAGATAAAGCTTCAGAAAAAGAGCTGATACCAGAAACATTTTGGCTTCGAGCCTGTGCAGTCTCATTTGAAGCCTGACCTTTACTTGCCAGCCTTAAACAGCCATGGCGGTTGAGCGCTGCCAAACAGTGCCATCTCCTGGGTATTCTTAATATCTACAAGTAGTGTTTGTGATTGAGCGCTGGTAAACAGAGAAATGGAAAGCAGATTTTGATTTTCGCTGTCGATCCCAGGGGAGAGAGCAGAAAAAACGAACGAAAACTAGGGCAGAGGAAAAAAGAGAGGGAGAGAGTTAAAGGAATAGGAAGGGTGGATGTAAGACACACATTTCTGGCCGTTTTTTTGTTTTTTTTTGTTGGTTCCAGGCTGCATAAACAGAGCAAAAGCAAAATAAAAAAACACAGATTTAACTGTATAAATGAAAACATCAGTGAGTCATAATCGCTGGCATTTTCCTCTGGTTGTAGATCTGTGAATAAAGATGCAAGCACACACTACCTGTTGTCAACCAAACCTAGAGCCTAGAGTGACTGTTGCATGTTGGCAGCCTCCGCCATGACAGCTGGAATTTTATTTGCAAGACGCAGGATTAATAGGCTCTTTATCACCCGCATCAATTGAGAGCTTAATTGGAGAGAAAATAGGCCCCATAGAGAGGGAACACTAGAAGATGTGCAAGGATGGCGCCTGCTTTTGTCATGCTTTATTTTCCTGCAATGTCTCATCAGACCACAGGGGGGAGTGTGAGTGTTATCAGTGATGTGGTCTCATAAGAGCATCCAATTAGTATCATGTGTTTTCCGGATGACCCTGCCATATTGTGGTCTACATTCCTGAGGCAATCTTTTTAAATTGCATGTGGTTTATTTTTGGGCAGAACAAGCATAAACATGGCACAGGGGCAGCGCCATTGTATTGAAGCACACTTGAACATTTTGCTGCTCTGGTAAACATCTTTTCATTGAGTTTTTGTTGAGCAGATAGAATGCCATTTGGAGAATAAAATGTTTTTGTCCGCTTAGAGTAGTTGTATCTAGTTATTTATTTTCCAAGAACCAAACAGCTACGTATGTCATTCATTGCAGTCTAACCAACTGATGAACAAATTAAAAAATGAAGATTTGGAGAATGAAGAGAAACCAGACAAGCTTTACTTTGTCTGTTTTAAATTAAATTAAATTAAACCATTTTTTTTTTTTATGTGTCTGAATACAATTAATTAACTCAATCATTTTTATATTCCTACAAAAGGCTTGAATGAGAATTAGTGGGCTATTTTATGTTAAAATTAAAAAATTGCACCTGCTGAATTCTGGGTTATGGCTCATTAATTACGTGCATATTAGCGACTCCACCTTAAAGTCTTTATATTTATATATTTTTCACACTTAAATATAATATAAATCAAGTATATCCTCTGAAAATAACTCTGTGAGTCATGACTGTCTACAATGGGTGTAACACCCGAGTCCCACTGTCTGTGATGTTTTCAGAGTTTTCAGAGTCCTATCTTCACTTTGTTTACATCGCCAGGACGGCCGGCTGACTCCTCCCCTCGTGTATAAAAGTTGTTTAATTGAGGGACTAGAGAAAAGAAGAATAACATACTGTACTCACTGCTTAACTGTGTTTCTAGATCACGCTCATTTCAGGTCAATTTACATGCAGTGTGAAGATACGACTTAGACTTAGACTTTCTTTATTGACATTCAAACTTGTACTTTACAGTGCAGATAAGAACGAAATTTTGTTGCATTTGGCTCGTTGTAGTGCAGGATAAAAAACAGCAGCAAGTATTTACATAGAAAAATAAGGTGCCGATATAAATAGATATAAAAAGAAAAGTATAAAATTACTATACAGATAAATATATTGCACGTTTGTGATGTATGTTATATTGTATTTTACAGTCCAGTGAGGTAGTCCTGTGTGGGGGTTTGAGGGGGAATGGAGGGATTATTTTTTTCGTGTTCAAAAGTCTTATAGCCTGTGGGAAGAAGCTTTTACAGAACCTGGAAGTTCTGCTTCGGAGGCTGCGGAACCTCGTTCCAGAGTCCAGCAGCGAAAACAGTCCTTGGTGGGGGTGGGAGGAGTCTCTGCTGATTTTCTGAGCCCTGGTCAGACAGGTCGCTAGCATTAGCATGCTAACACAACAACGCGGCGCGGGTTGTTTTGGTTTCTTGCTGGTGCTCAAGGGCGACATCTGCTGGATCAAAAAATCACATATAAAGCCTTTAATGACGTGCATATTAGCGACTCCACATTAACACAGTTTGCTGAACTACTTTGCGCTACGTCGCAGAAAGTAGACCTTCTTTCACACATCTCCTGTATAAAAGTTAAAGATTATTTTATTGTCTTTTTATGACTTTCATTCAGAGGATAGGACAATAAATGGGAAACTGGGAAGCGAAGAGAAAGTGGGGGATGACGTGGTGAGGAGCGGAAGGTCAGATTTAAACTCTGGCCAACCGCATGCACGATTCAACCACTGAGCTAAACCGACGCTCCCTTTAGTTCATATTTATTGCATTAAAAAACATACACACTTGTGTTTTGTGTATAAAGACATATATGATCTCAATCTGTGAGTGTGAAGTCACTGAGGTTTCTCTTATTTCATGATTTGGTCAAGATAAACAACGTTGGCGATGATGAACATGATATTATGTTTTGATTTGTGTCAACATGCATTGTCACTAAGCTGTAGTTTTGAACTGTGATGGTGCTCTTACATCAGATTGTGTCGAGTAGACCAGCCAGTCAAATCTATAGCAGGGAGTCTCTTTTTCTAGAAGCAGTTTTATTCAGGCAGTAGCTGATAGCTGAAACACTTTATCTTTTGTTTATTTTAATGCAGCTTTTTTTTTCCCTTTTTCATTTGCTACTTACATACAGTGATGTTATATTTGATTATTAAGAAGGGGGGGGATCCATTTGGACCATCTTGCATTTGGACCCGGCCCTGCTTTAGTCGACCATGGTTCACAGAAACACACCTTGTCAGCTTTAATATGCTGCAGTGTCGTAACAGATACGCTTTGGTGTATGTTTTGGTGTTTTTGCCAGACAGCTGAAGAGAGACAGTAAACATAAGGTAGAGAGACTGAGGTAGGACTGTAGCCGATGTATATGGAGCTTGTGCTGCTCTACTGTCTGAGTTAAACCAGCTCCCGTATTATTTTAAACAACAGGATCAAAAGATTTTATCATTGTGACAGTCAGACAGAGAATATTTCTTAACTGTTCATCCCAGCAGATTACATTAATATCTAACTTTGTCTGTGTTTCTATGACACCATTACACATCCTATATTGTACCCCACAGTGGTGGAATGAACTTCCAAACTCCATTCGATCTGCAGAGTCCCTCTGCACCTTTAAGAAAAAGCTAAAGACCCAGCTCTTTCATGAATACCTACTAACTTAATGATGATGGTCTCCATATTATTGATGATGATGATGGTAATGACGATGGTTTTTGTTTGATAACGACGACTTATAAGATGGTTTCTATACTGATTAGAGCTCTCAAGAACTGCCCTCAATGTTGTGCTTTGCCTCTGGTCACTTCCTGTCAGCACCTGTGTGTCCAATCAGACTCCAAGCTGATCGTTTGCTCTTACTGACATTGTTCCCTTTTTTCTAGATCCTTGCTTGTGTTGTTCTTACTCTCTGATGTATGTCGCTTTGGATAAAAGAGTCTGCTAAGTGAATTGTTGAATTGTAGGATATCTAACTTTGTATATGTTTCTATGACTCAATTACACATCCTATATTATATTTTGGTTAAACCTCTAATCCAACAATCATCAGAGCAATGTATTTCTAAATGTAAAAACGGTCATCTCCGGCCAGATTACATTATGAGAGGGCGAAACAAAAGCTGTGGGGACTGAGCTGGAGTACAGGCCATCTGGCCTTTGCACAGTGACTAAGTAGTATGGCTGCTGGGTCAGGTGTCTAGGGACTCATTATATAACATTATTTGCTCATACTGAATGTTCTATAGCAGAGGGAAATCTATGCCTCATTGTGAGAGGTAAGCACTCGAGTCATTTGGGTGTTTCATCAAATGGATCTCTTAAGAATTAGAGTGAGTTAATGCTGTGTACTGATTCCCATAAGCCTGTAGTGAGGATCTGTGTTCATGTGCAGTCTGTGGAGCGTCCCTCCATCCTTCCTCTAGATACTTTCTGCTGGGGGTATTTTAGTCTGCATGCAGAAAATTTCACATTGTAATGGCCACAGTTGAAGGGACAGGTAGAACATCACCCCCAGGCACTTTCCTCCACTATTTCTGCACCTGTCTGTGTGTTTGGAGAGTGTGTATGTGTGTGTGTGTGTTTGGGAGAGTGAAGCACAGCAGAACATCTCTATGTGGTATACTGTTGCACTCTGGTGGCCTATCATGGCATTTCAACAGTATTGAGGTTTAAACCCTCCTTTCAAACAGCTGTGCAGGACTTCCAATGAAGCAAGGCTCTGAAACTCATCTCAATCTAAAGTTGACTTTGCGATAAGACTTAATCCAGAACCACTGAGAGCTGCAGTTTACATGAATCAGCATGACTCAGATTTTTCGAGGTAAATGCGTCAGCCTTGTAAGTGCATTTAACTTATCCTTACTTACGTATTCTTCGTTACTATCTACATCTAAGATTCTGTCGAGGACTGATTTTTAGAAAAGTGTGTCAGTTATGATAGAGCTGGTGTCACACACAAACATGCAGAAGCACAATAAAGAAGAAAACTTTGGAGAGTATCCTTTTTATTATACAAAAAATATTTCATAGAAAAACAAATAAGTTATGAATTCCAGCAGCTGCTTTTGTGTTTTTCCTCAATTAATACATATCTTTGCCTTCTGCACTCTTTCTTTTTTGTCACGCCGACGACACACTCTGGCCTGCGCTGGTTATTTCACAGTCCTTGAAGATCTCCCACTTATACAGTAGTTGTAATTTAGTCCCCATTATCCTCATCTGCCCCCATCTTCTCCCCCCCCCCACCCCCAAAAAAAGAAAAGTTAGGAGCCTTCCAGTCCATCTGGCAGCTGACCTACTTTCCGTAGAACATCTCCATGAGCACCTCCTCGATGTTGACGGTCCCTATAACGGGTCTGAAGAAGAGCTGAGCGACCACCAACGGGCTTATGGCCCTCAGCATGGACAAGGCTATGAGCAGCTTGGCGAAGCGCGTCGTGTCCTCGCGATGGATCAGCCTCACGTGCTCGTTCAGAGCCTGGTGAGCCTCGCGGCGGAGGGACTGGATGTAGTGGATGCAGCGCAGACCCTCAACATCTGGAGGTTGAAAGAAAAGAAGGGACAGAAAGAAAAAGGACATAAAAGAGATGTGAGAAAAGGGTTAAGAGTGGTTTTCCATAGCTATATCAGAAAATGCAATAAACCAAAATCCATACAGTTAAATCCATATGGGTTGCATCAGTTAAATTTATACAATTACAGTAGTTGAATCCATGCAGATAGTCGTTAAATCCATACAATCACAACAGTTAAATCCATACAGTTTCATCCATACAAGCTTGATTTTTTAGCATACTAATAGCACTTTCTATATCCCATTCAAACAATACACAGGGTGCTGTTTTTTTTTAGAAACAAGTCTGTTTAAAAAAAAAAATCAAATAGAATAAATCTGATCTAGAATCAAAATAAACCACAATTCTAACACGCAAAAAAGAAATCTAAATTCATATAAAGATAAAGATAAACTTTATTGATCCCCCATGGGGACATTTTTTCATTACAACAGCTCAAGAAAACAGGAAACAGGAATATCATTATTAAAAATAACAAGAAGTTAAAAATCAAACATATGAGTTAAATAAAGGCAGAAAAAATACAATAATAGAATAATACCAGGTATGTACACTAAATATATACTACATATATACTAAAATAGCCTACCGAAGCCTGGAAGATGCACTGACCACCTGTGTCATATAACTTTAATACACAGGTATGAACAGCCTTTACATACCTGGGTTGAAGAGCACAGCTCCTTTCAGGTAAGCATACTCCTTCGTACTGATATCAACACTCCAGCACTTCTTCAGAAACGCTCTGATAGCTTCGATATCCAGCACGGAGACCCCGGCCGCCCCCCTGCTCTGCCCGGTCGGCACCTCCTCGCTCTGCCTGTCCGGTAAACCCGTGAGGATGCGCTGCAGCATGCTGGGCTCCACTGTCTCCGTGGTCTCAAAGTCCACGCGGTCCTGCGCGAGTCCCAGCACGAGCAGGGGAGCCCACCCGCTGCGTATCAACATCAGCTGGTCGTCCTCCGGCAGCTCGCGGAAACACGGCACGTTTTTCACGAAGCGCAGCGTCTTGACCAGGACGGCCGAGGCGGCTTTGCACGTCACCTGTGGGGAGCGGAGGACGCCCCGGCGCCGCGTCGAGCCGCAGGAGCACGCCTGCTGCCGGAGCTCCTGCAGAGAGGCTGCAGGGGCGGCTGTGGCGGAGGAGGTGGAGGTCTTGTGGAACAAATGCTGCAGTTGTTGCTGCTGCTGCTGCTGCTCCTCCGCGGTGGCAAGACTGTCACTCTTTAAGATGCTGTAGAGGATGCTGTTGTTGGTTCTGCCGCTTGCGCCTCGGCAGCGGCAGCCCTCCAGCGTGGCCATGGCTGTGGAGGTCAGCCGCAGAGGTAGCGCTTGTTTTCTTAAGCCTCCCTGATAGCCCCGAGTGAAGGGCAGCACGTTTATATTAGCTCCCGTCCTGTCCTCTCGCTTTGAAAGCTTGTACAGACTTTCTTGCTCATTCCGCCTTCCCCAGGTTCAAGCACCTCCTCTTTCCCCACCTCCTCTTCTATCTCTAACTCTCTTTCTTAAACACACATCTTGCAGTGCTCTCACATATTCAACTCACACTAGCCCCCTTTTTTTTTTTAAATGCCAGAAACAACACCAGACATTTTAAAACATCTCATTTGCTGAAATATTATTAAGGACATAAAACTCCAAATGTGTGACAACGTCATCTCACCCTGCAGGCACAATGCACCCCAAAAGGTGCAAGAAACATTGACAAGTTCTGGTTTATTTAACAGGCATTATGGAGGAAAGAGGGAAAAAAAGAAAGAAAGAGGGGGCCAAAGACAGACAAGGAATCAGTTCTATTCTCAGAGTTACCTTGACTCTCTGGCAGCTCTGTTCATCAGGCGGGAGCCGGTAAAAAATACAGGCCAGCGGACAGATCTGAAGGCCTAATTATTTTAGGGACAATTTATATGATTTTCTATGAGAAAGAAGCAGGAAGAGCTGAGCTGTGAAGGCCAGCCTGCAACCTTGACTCGGACACACTGATATTGATTTAACCGTGAAAACAGGAGCTGGTGAATTATGATGTCATGACTCAATGCTCTCCTTGCTTCTGTCACTGAAGGAGGATTGGGGGGGGATGGCGGTGGGGGGGAGGAAGAGAGAAGGAGTGGAGGTCAGTGAATGAGAGACTGAGAAAGACAGGTCGGGATAAAGCTGATGAATTAGAGGTTTATCTTAATTGCTCCTAAGAGGGATCACAGGTTAGGGTTGGCTGCTACTTGAGCAAGAGAGGAGGGGAGGGCGGGTGAAGGAGAGGGAGGAATGAAGGGGGGCTCAAGGGAAATCAATGGTGATTACAGAGGAGTTTAACCAGAAGAAAAAACAATGACAGAGAAGTTGTCATAATGACAGACGCTGTGTGAGAATGAATCTGTGTGAGAATGATGCAAATGCTTTGCGGAGAGGTCTTGACCAAAGACTTTGTGTAAGAAGTGGACAGTAGCCTCTTGGTTACTTAAAGGCTTTATATTTGTCACACTTAAATATAATATAAATCAAGTATCTCCTCTGAAAATAACTCTGTGAGTCATGACTGTCTACAATGGGTGTAACACCCGAGTCCCACTGTCTGTGATGTTTTCAGAGTTTTCAGAGTCCTATCTTCACTTTGTTTACATCGCCAGGACGGCCGGCTGACTCCTCCCCTCGTGTGTAAAAGTTGTTTAATTGAGGGACTAGAGAAAAGAAGAATAACATACTGTACTCACTGCTTAACTGTGTTTCTAGATCACGCTCATTTCAGGTAAATTTACATGCAGTGTGAAGATACCAGCATAATAAAGATCCCTAGCATTAGCATGCTAACACAACAATGCAGCGCGAGTTGTTTTGGTTTCATGCTGGTGCTCAAGGGCGACATCTGCTGGATCAAAAAATCCCATATAAAGCCTTTAAATGAAGCTCCTTAGTGCCTTAAACCTGCATTTCTCTTAATGGCCAGCAGAGGGCGATTGCACTGGATGAGAAAATAAGTAAAACGGTATAAAATTTTATATCACAGCCTTTGAAAATGAATACAGAATCTGTAGGCGAGTGTCAAAAATGTGGATGTCTAGTCTTTAGTCTACATTATTTGGCGTCGGTGTGTCTTTGTTAGCCTGCAATACTCTGCCTATAAACGCTAGTTGTCAGTGCAATTTCTATGCTAGTTATATCGCTAGTTTCTAGCCCTGACACATTCTCTGCTTGTTTACGTACAGGAAACCATGGCTACTTAAACCAAGTGTTAGAGTACGAGCTGATAAGTACTGAGCAGTAGTTGAGTATACTTCGATCATTGCAAAGAAGAACATGAGGAGACATGGGAGGAGATGTACAACTTGATAGCATTGTTAGCCCATGGCTACTATTTAGCCTACGTTAAACACACAGAGGTTCCTAATAGAAAATAGAATATAAAAACATTTTATCTTCTAGTCATAATAAGAATCGGTGTCCTTACGCTTACATGTGGTTCAAGCTAGCAGACCGATCACAGCGCTTGGGGTCTGCGTTCTTTTGGCACGAGTTTAATGCGCAGGTATGCTTCTGCACAGGTAGGGCTATGCAAACTTACAGCGTTTTGCTATGATGTAGTTTGATGCAGGAGTATAATTCCGATAGTCAATGGGTTCCAAGGTTGGAATGTACAAAACCATATGGGAAGATCAAACTACTACTCTTACTTCATTGCACATTTCCCTTAAGCTAGTTTTGAATCTTCATCAATACAACATGATGTTAGTTTTGGAAATAAAGGCCCAAATAAGAGTACAATTGTACATAAACCAGAGTACGCTTTAGCAATGGGTGACTACCTTGTCTTTGAATCAACTCTGGTTCTAAAAAACAAGGTTGCAACTGCCATACTGCCTTACTTTAGGCTTAAAAAGGGTGATTATCTAACCAGTGGGTGACATCAAATAGGGCTGTTTACAGTTCTTTAAAACAGTCAATGTTCCAGACTTACTGTACAGTGTGTGCAGGGAAAAGGTTTAGGTCGTTCTGACTCACAAATTCCCTCATACTGCCCCAGAGTTGTGTCTTCATTAAAGGTCGTCTTTGGTGCGGAGGAAGGATGACACTGAGTGTATGGCAACGTTCAGGAAAAAGCGGTGAGAAGGACCTGAGTGTCCTCTCTCTGTTGCATTGAAGGACGTGGCTGTGAATGGAAGCAGGATGAAAAACTTTTTTTTTCAGTAGTGCTGAAGCACTGTTGAGAGGCTGAATGTCTTCGTATTGATTTGGCTTAGAGAGAAAAACAGAGAGATTTTTCACATGTTTATATCAAGGACACCGCGGGATAAACAGCCTTCAACCAGCTTGTCTCTTCTCCTGCTCAAGGCCCAGCCAGCGCAGGTTATAAAAATCCTTCCGTCTCAAGGAGAGATTACATTATGTCTTTTTTGCAAAAGCACAGAGTTGAAAAGACAGCTAGCGCTCTGTCGCTCTTTGTTTATTTATCCAATCTGTACAAAAAGTACTTGAGTGGCTCTCTGCTCCACCGTTTCCCCCAAGAAATGTATATTTAAAATGATAACCATGACATGAAGAGTAAATGCATCTAATAAAATAAAGCCATATGGAATTGGAGGTTTGAATTTTCTACCTGAATTAATGACATGTAATTACAGTGATGCATTTTTATGTGCCATCTATCAAATGTACTTTGTGCTCTACATGTAAAAAGCAGAATAAAACTATGTAGAACAACAAATAAAAGAAAAACTGTATTAATAGGAGGATTTGTAGAGCTACTTTAAGATGTTATCTTAATGAATTTAAAGTTGTTTCAAGTTCTTCTGGTTCCATTACTCTGTGCACTTTTATGGTGTTTTCTGTCAAAGAGAGGAGAAAAAGCCGCCCGCTACGCTCTGCCAAAGTCTGATCCAGCCTTCACAACAGGGTCCTAAGACGCTGACTAGACTCTTCTCCTCTGTCGCCCCCCGGTGATGGAATGAACTTCCAAACTCCATTTGATCTGCAGAGTCCCTCTGCACCTTTAAGAAAAAGACCCAGCTCTTTCATGAATACCTACTAACTTAATGATGATGGTCTCCATATTATTGATGATGATGATGGTAATGACGATGGTTTTTGTTTGATAACGATGACTTATAAGACGGTTTCTATACTGATTAGAGCTCTCAAGAACTGCCCTCAATGTTGTGCTTTGCCTCTGGTCACTTCCTGTCAGCACCTGTGTGTCCAATCAGACTCAAAGCTGATTGTTTGATCTTACTGACATTGTTCCCTTTTTTCTAGATCCTTGCTTGTGTTGTTCTTACTCTCTGATGTACGTCGCTTTGGATAAAAGCGTCTGCTAAGTGAATTGTAAAATTGTAGAAAAAGCCAATTATCACATTTTGTTTTATTTGCATTTTGATGCATCAGTAAAACTGCCGTATTTTCACTAATGAAATGACTTGTTAATACAACTTAACGCAGCTCCTACATGGTGCAAAGAGTGTGAACAGTTTGACTTTGACTTTGCTCCATTGAAATAAAAAAATTAAATTGGATTACATGCCTGCCACATATTCTTTGAAACCATTGTGCACAGGTAATTAGACCAAATAGCTGTGATGCTGAGCTACTCACTCAAGTCACTGACCTACGGGTTAATCCTTTTACTTTGAAATAGTATTGTTCTTTTGAACGTAAAGGTAAATGGCTCTTTCTCAACATACAAACACTGTAGCACGGATGCACCTCAAGGTTGTGTTAGCTCGCCCATCCTCTTTACATTGTACACTAAAGAATAGAAGCAGTCAGCCTAATAATTACATCATCAAATTCTCTAATTACACTTTTAATTTATACTTGCTTTATGCTGTATGACTGTCCTTCTACTACAATGAGACCTCCTCGTTCAAGTACTGTTGCGACAAACCACAACCTTGTTTTTAACGTGAACAAAACTAAAGAACTTGTATTTGACCCCAGAGAGGTCAGAGCCCATGACCACATGATAATTAACAAGTGTGCGATTGAACAGATGTGCTCATACAAATATCTAGGTGTACTTACTGTATGGACAAGAAACTGCCCATATTTACCGCAAATGTACAGCATTTCTTTCCTGACAGACCTGTACACACTTAATTTAGCCATCGAGATCACAGCTGACCCTCTGCACCCCCTTTGGTCAAAGTATGAACTCTCGAACTCAGGGCGCAGGTACAGAATGCCCAGGATGAGGACTAAAAGAGTCATTACATCCTTTGTACCGCGCAGTATTCAGCTGCTTAATAAGAGCTGATTATACAGGACGAACTCAGCACTCTGCACTTTATTTAACTTGTTGAAATCCCTCATTTGAATCATGTGATGCTTTAGTGTGTTTTTATGTGTTCTTATGTGCTGTCCTGTAAATGTTTGTTTGTATTATGTTTTTTATGCTCTCTGTGCAAGGCAAATTCCCCTAGGGGCAATAAAGGTTTGA